TCCTCCCCCCACCCTTCCCGACGCCACCCGCCCCGTCGTCCGTCGCATGCAGTGCCTGTTCTGGTGCCTACCATATGTGGAAGAAAAGACAAAAAAAATATGTCAAAACAGAAGAAGAAAACACACACCGAGACACAAAAAAGACACAAGAACATTTCAAAACGTCAAGGACCCCGCTCTCTTCCGAAACCGTCTCTCTCTCTCTCTCTCTTCTCATCTCTGGATTTTGTTTGCAGCGAGAGGCCACCTCTGCTTCACCCCCTTCCGTTTTTCACCCCCCCACCCACCAAAAGCCGGAACAGTTCTGCTTAGATCGTGCCCTGTACGCCCACCCGTTTAACGCTTGTTTGATGCTCCCCTTATTTTATTTTTTTCAATTTCATTTCTGATTTGTAACGACAATGTGTAGAATTTAAAGTTGTGGTGTTCCTGGTTTTGTTTTGTTTTTAATTAACCCTTCTGCCCCGCCGCCGGCCCTTGTGTTTAAAACGGACCGTTCGTAACCCACAACTTGGTGTTCAAGCAAAAAAAAAAACAAAAACAAGAATCTCGTTAGAAACTTTTAAAACTTCTTAACGCCTTCCGGAGGGGGGATCTGAGGCTTCCCGAAGGGCCTTAGAAGGATGTGTGGGTTTTTGGGTTTGTTTGTTTTTTGTTGTCGGTTTTTTTGGAGGCCACCGGACGAGACACAGGGGAGCCGGTCTCGCCCACATAGGCGAGAAAGCCACGGCACTAGCCGTTCACGGCCATCCTCAGAGCCCAGTTTGGGGTGGGTTTTCCCCATCTCCCCAATGAAGTGGATAGCAAAGCAAGAGCTTGCTGTTGGAGGTGGTGGTTTTTATTTTAGAGGACAGCCAACTTAACACCGGAGCGGCTGTTCTTCTCTGGCGCATCCGTGGCTCCGGACTGGACAGAATCCGTGCCCTTGTGGGAGGCCTTCGAGCATCGACGAATGAACTTCATTGTGGGCTTTCCGACCCTCTTCGCCCTCCTGCAGTCTCCATCGGCCTGGCGTGATCCTCCTCGATCCAGAGGATCTGTGGGCATCCCCTTCGCCTCCCCAGAGGACGTTGCTGGAAACGGAACAGTAGGACGAAAAAGCTTGGATGGAATCCCTCTCTCCATTCTCCCGTTCATCTCATGGCAGTCGCTTTCCATCGGAGAGTGCCGTCCGTATTTCGGAACCGCTCGGGGGGGGGCACCTGTCCTTCCACGGCTGGCTCCCACATTCTGGACTTAACAGGAGAGGCCCATCGAGACGTCCCACCCGGTAACGCCCACGAGGCCCGTCGCGTGGACGTGGTTAGATCTGCCGGCACTTGCTGGAAGAGGAACCCGGCGTTTCCCCCACATCAGAGGCTTCCTTCTTGGAAAGACGATGGTCCAGCTGATGCCCCCCCACCTCCACCAGCCCCCAGGGATTCTGCAAGGTTTACTTTTATTTTTCAGCCCGATTTATGTTCTCTGTGCTTGAAAGATTCCCCAGCCTCTTCTCCACCCAGAAAGCCAAAAAAACACGACAGAAGTGGAGGTGCCCCTCCTTTTTGAGGCCCCCTTCGGCCCGCTCTGCTTCGGCCTCCACTTAGACCCCATTTCAGGAGGATCAAAATCCCCCATTGCTTTGGATTTCCTCCGGACAGCCCCTGAACACCCACACTGCCCAGCCCGGGGGGGTGTCTCTTTGAGATCTGTGCCGTTTCAGCCTCCCCTGTGACGCCTGCATCTTCTTCCCCCCCCTCCAAACCCTGAGCACTTAACAAAAATAATGGGGGGGGGGTGGCAGGAAGAACTGTGTGTGTGTTCGGATTGGGGAGAGCCGTTTGGGGATTGAAGGGGGGGCGCAGGGTGCTTTATTAAACTAGCAGCCTGTCCGAATGCCAGTGTGCGTAAAGATAGATATATACATGCACACACGCTGGTCCCTCCATGCACCCCTCTCACTCAGTGTTTTCGGAGGGGAGGGGAGGGATAGACCCTCCTGGTTTGCTTCTGTGTCTTTCCAGCTTCCTTTCAGCCCTACAGCTGCTTGCGATGGTTTCCCTTTTAGACCCATTATAAAAACCCTTCTCCTTTTCGCACAGCCCTGAACAGCACCTTCTCCCCCCCTCTTTGATGCACTCTGCCCCCTTCCTTCCTTACTCCCCCCTGCCTGTCTTCTCCCATCTCGATCTCCTGCCCCAACCACCCGACACCTCCTGTCACCAAAAACCAAGTGCCATTTTCCTGTCCCATTCCCTTTTTTTTAAAAAAAATTATAATCAATAAAATCAGAAGCCCCCATGTTGACCTATATCGGCTCAGTGGAGCATTTGAGGAGGGTCTGTGGGTTTCG